ATCCACGAGCCTACAGCCGCCTCTTGTAGGCCGGCCTCGCCCCGCGATTCGGAGACTCTGTCGGAGGTCCGTCCGTCGCCGATGCGTTCATCGCCGCCGCCGCCGCCGCCGCCGCCGCCGCCGCCGCCGCCGCCGCCGCCGTCTGCTTGCTGGTGCCGTGGCGGCAGCGCCCCCCCCTCGCGCCCGTCTCGCCGCCTCTTTGCGCCCGGCTGCGAGGGCACCGAGGTGTCGATGCGCGCGGCGGGCGGCGGCGCGGGGGCGGGCTATGAGGCGGACGGGGAGTACGCCGCCGCCCGCAGCCGTCGCCAGTCGCGATCTTTCATCACTCCCGACGCGCCCGCGGCGCGGCTGCGGCTGCTGCTGCTGTACGACGCCCTCGTGCTGCTCTGCGTGTGCGGGGCGGCCTCCGCGTGCTTGGTCGTGATCTTTGCGACGCCAGCCGGCGACTCTGCGAGTGACAGCCGCGGCTGGCGCGCAGAGCTCACCCTCTTCCTCGCCCGGCAACTGCTCGGCCTGCTCGCCCTCCCGTGGGCTACGCTCTGCTAGACACTTCCTAGACACTTCCTAGACACTTCCTAGGCCTGCTCGCCCTCCCGTGGGCGGTGCTCTGCTAGACACTTCCTAGACACTTCCTAGACACTTCCTAGGCCTGCTCGCCCTCCCGTGGGCGGTGCTCTGCTTGCCGCCCGCGCGCGAGCTGCTCACCGCGCGCTCGCCCACCGGGTACGACGCGGCGAGGAGCGTGCTGCGTCAAGACAGCTGTCTCGGACCCTTCTCGGACCCTTCCCGCAGGTACGACCGACGAGGCGCCTGCAGGCTGCTCGACCTCGACGGTCTCTCCGCCTTCGTCGGCCGGCTCCGGCCGATCCTCCGCTCGCGCCGCGTCCGCTCCGAGCTGTCCGCCTCCGACCTGGCGAGGCTCGACGGTGCCCTGCTCACTGCCGAGGGCTACTTGCGAAATAACCCGCGCGCGGCCAAGGAGGAGACGGACAGGCGGAGAGACGCTGCCGACGCCCTCATCACTTCTGTCATCCGGCCGGGCCACCCGCTCCACCCGGCCCTCCTCCCCGAGGTGTGGACGGCGTCTCTTCACGCATGCAGCTGTGAACAGGCCACCCGCTCCACCCGGCCTTCTTCCCCGACCGCGCGCTGCTGCACCGCCACCAGGCGCGAGATACAGCATAGACAGCAGAGCCGAGATACCGCTGCACTGTGAAACTTCCGCGAACCTTTCAGGCGCGCGCCCTCGCGGCGGGGGAGCGGCCGGCGACGCGCGCCGCGCGGGCGGCCGCCAAGTATGGCGTCCTCTGGCAGCCCGACGCTTCGCAGCCGTCCTGCCGGCTGTGCTCGAAGCCGTTCACGCTGCTGCGGCGGCGGCACCACTGCCGCAGCTGCGGCCAGGTCGTGTGCGACAGCTGCTCGACCGGCCGCCGTCCCGTGCCGGGGTCGCCGACCCCGAAGCGGGTGTGCGACAACTGCGTCCGCGCGAGGAACTCCCTCAACGGCCCCGGCTTCTCGCCCGCGGCCACTGGGGCCAGACCGCAGAAGGACGGGTATATGGAGTTGGTGTGAGCTGCGTGCTGCTTTGCCGCTGCACCCAGCGATCAGCATCGACGGCGTGCGACGAGGATTCGAGGATAAGACTTGTGTACCGAAAACACTCCGTGTTGAGAGCTGCCCTCTTTTTTGTGCTAGCCTGGGCGCTGGGGGGCGCGCTCCTGGTGATATACCACTCCGCTCCTGCTCCGCTCTGTGACTCAGGTCTCAGCACACAGGTTCACAGCAGCCCCTACGCTCTCTCCCCCGACTCCTAGCTCCTACCAGCCGACCAGGCGCCGGACCAGCCCGACTCTTCCCGCGTTGTTTTCCCGTCCGCCAAGGCACTTGGAGCACTCCAAGGGAACAAGTGCCACAGGGGTGACAAAACTCTTTTCCCAGTCTCGTGCCCAGTGTAAAGAAAGAAAGAAAGAAAGAAAGCGCAGCAACCCAAGCAAGGAAGACCCCGCCATAAAAACGGTATGGCGGTGGAGTGCTCTCTAGTGCCGCGGCGCCCCTGTCGGTTCGGAGGCGCCAGGCGGCCGCGCGCTTGGTGCCGACGTCGACCGGCTGCTCGCGCGGCGCCGAGACGTGCCACTTTGGTCACGTCTCGCGCGCTGCGAGGTGCCTTTTGGCATGTGAGCGCTTGCCATAGACGCCAGGATGGTTGGCTTCCACGCCTGCGGCCGCGGGCGAGCGGGCGGGCACGCATGGCTCGGCGACGCTCTGCGCGGGTCTCTTCGAGCTCGCAGCCCGCGACGAGCCAGCATGGCTCGTCGCTCGACGGCAGCCTGCTCAGTATGCTCTGGGCATTCTGTGCAGCCTCGCCAAGCTGTGTGGGAGGGTCCACAGGGCCAGGGCGGGCCGTCTAGGGCGCGACGGCGCGCTGAGTTGTACCATGACTACCGATCGGGTCGCCGGCAGCGGGCTTGCGCGGCGCGCCGCTCGACGGCAGGCTGCTCCCCACCCTTCCAACAGTGTCTTCTACCTCGCTTCTCCTGCTGCAACCGTCTCCAGGGGCCGGCGCCGACCGGGCCTCGCTTCGCCAGCACTGCCTACGTCTACGACACACGCGTCGGCTCGCCGCCCGCGTCGCCCGCGGCGGGCCCGCGTGGCGCGCTGCTCGTCGGGAGCGTGCTCAGCAGGCTGTGCAGCGCAGCCTGACTCACTCAGAGCGCATCTGATGCGGCGTGGGGCCGCCGGCGGCGCTGCTGCCGCGCACGCTGCGCTGTGGGCGTCACCATCGTGTCCTCGCCGCGTCGCCGACGCCACTTGCGGCTCGCGGCTGCCCTGCCCTTCCCTGCCATCGCGCAAACAAACACACACACACACACAAACAAACACACACATTATTAATGATCGGGTAATAATTATTAATTATTAATCATCGGGCGGCGAATGCGGCGCGGCGCAGCGGCGGGCGGCGCGAGGCGGCGGCGCGGCGAGGCAGCGGGCGACGCAGGGCGGGGCGGCGCGGCGGCGGGTGGTCTAATTACTTATTAATTAATTAATAATGAATTAATAATCATCGGGCGGCGGCGCGGCGCGGCGGCGGGCGGCGCGGAGCGGGGCGGCGCGAACATCTGCTCTGATCAGGTCTCCGGCCTTTGAGGCAGGGCAATGGTCGCGCCGCCCTCGACTCAAGGGGCTGCCTTCCACCCGTAGCTGCTCAGGCCGGGGGAGGGGGGGAGACCTCCTGTTCCTCGCGGAACGGGAGCAGGCCCCTCCTTGCCCGGTCTGCGATGCAGGGCGGTGGTCGTGCCATCTTCGCTTCGTACAGACAACGACCACGCCGCAACCGTCGCCGGTGCGCGACACGTTCCCGTAGGCAGGACTGTCCTCGTCGAGAGTGTGTGCCGCCAAGGCGGGACGCACTCAGGGACAGTGCCGACGGGACGCGGCTCGAGAGACGACTCCCGCGAAGGCACGGCTGGCATCCGTGGCGTGGGGCTCGTCTTAGAAAAGTCGGGCATGGCTCTACCCGCAACTTTCTCGCTAACACGCGCGCACTGCCGAGCCTGCGGCGGGCGCGCTGTGAGGCCGCACGTCTACCTCCGTCATAGTGCCACGACGTGCGGCCTAGAATTCGCACACGCGCCTCTGCTCGCATACACTCATACAATGAATTGTCATCACCCGTGAGTGCGAGATAGGGCTAGCAGTAGGCAGCTAGCCTGTGAGGAGTGCGTCCATAGACACCTCACAAGACCCCACACACGATCTCGTCCGTGCCTCGCCGGGCGGCGAGATTGCTAGAGGTGGAGCAAGCCTGCTCTAGCCTCGCATGTTACTTCCTGTCGTCTGTTGTGTCGTTGTGCCCTTGTTTGTACTCTTGGCACCGTGGAGTGCTGGGGGGGGCGACAGGGAGGATGTGGCCTTGAGTTATGTGTACGCCAACTCAGGGTGTGTGGCAGCCAGCTGGCTGTGTGTCTTGTGAGCCTGTTTGTGTCTGTGTGTCGCTCGTGCGTGCCGTCATCATCTGTCTAGCGTCCACCCATGCCGCGTTGGTGTCCAGTCCGAGCCTGGCTGTTCTTCACCTTTCTACCTAACCTAACCTAGGGAGGGATGGGAGGACGGCACGCCTCCACCACACAGGGATTTTAAGGAGAGGAGTGTGGTGGTGCTAGCCGTCGCCCACCCTTTGTGTAAAGAAAGAAAGAAAGACGAAACAGAGCAACCAAACGAGGGATGGGAGGACGAGGACAAGGTCCCACCTGCACGAGCAGGATCTTGGAAGGACGATCAGGGACACAGGGGAACGGGAGTGGGGAGCGCATCGCGACACGGAGGGGGGCGGGGCAGGGTTCACCCACACGACAGGGTCCCAGGGATTCGTCTCTCGTATCCGGCGTGAAATTTCTTTTTTGAGATTTTAACGGCGGCGAGCTACGGCGAGCAACAGACGCCTTCCAGCGCCGCCCAAACACGCTATCTGCGTTCGGAGGGGCACCGGTGGCTAACGGCGGCGCAGAGATGTGCAAGCCCAATGCCGCCGGCTCCTGCTACGCCTTTGACGACGCAGCCTCCACGCCGACCGCTGCGGTCGATTCTGTGCAGCACAGGATAACGGAGATGGTGCCCCACCTGCCCGACGCCTTGCCCGCTATCGGCCCCTCGCGCGCTCTCCTCCCGCACCGCCATCGTCCCTCCCGCACCCGGCACTCCTCCCGACTCACAAGCACTCGAGAGGTGACGCCCGCCGAAACCGGCGTCCTGCCCCGACCATCGCCAGGTCTTGACGATCAACAAGCCCTCGAAGTCGCACCCGATCGGGCTAGTGCTCACGTCGTCCGGCGGAGACCCGCCCATTGTCACAGAGATCGACACTGAGTCGCCCGCGCAGGGCACACTCAAGCTCGGAGACTGTGCGCCCTCCCCGACAATGCTCACTCGAACGCACACACACTCGAACGCGCCTCCACACCCCCTCACGCGGCCTCTTGCTGATGCTGCTAACCCGCCCGCTGCGTGCGCGCCGCGCTAGTGCTTTTGCGCTTCGGGCTTGCCCACCGCACCTCACCTTGCTCCCCGCACGACTCACCGCAGGCATCGTCTCTGTCAACGGGGACCCGGCCGAGGGCGCGCAGGGCACGAAGGCGCGTCTCATGTCCTAAAGCTCCTCGCGCCCGCGTCACACTGAGTGATGATCATCACCCATCAGGGCCTCCTCATGTCCTCCAAGAAGCTCCTCGTCGCGATCTGCCGCGACGAAGCTGCCGCCGCCGGCGGCGACGACGCCGCCGAAAGCCAGCTCGCTGCCGAACTGGCGTTGGACGCGACGGCGCAGGTGAGACACGAGCTGGCTTGCCTCCGATAGAGATGCACTGTCCGATGACTGCTCGCTCTGGTCGGCGCAGGTCTTCATGTTTGACCACACCGAGGTGGACGAGGCGGACGAGGAGGTGGAGGGCGGGTCCTCGACCGGCATGGGGGCGCGCGTCATCACCGACCAGGCGCAGTCAGACTCATGAAGCAGACTCATTGAAGGGATAAATTAAGCAGTCGCGGTGATCACTGATGAGTGAAGAAGGGTCGTCCTCTCGCACCGACCCCAGGCGCAGCAGACGCTGCCGGAGCAGCGGCGGGCCTTCAAGGTGTACGACTCAAACCGCTCCTGGAGGCAGTGGGCGGCGGAGGTGCGGAGCTCCGCCAACGCGCGCCAGAGCGGAGGAGGAGGAGGCGGAGGCGGAGGAGGAGGAGGCGGCGGAGGAGGAGGCGGAGGAGGAGGAGGAGGGCACCATGTCACGCTGGCGCGCACGAGCAACGTCGACAAGGCGCGAGGGGACAAGGGCGCCGGGGCCTCGGTCCGCTTGAGCCAACGAGTAGACTGCAAAGGCATGGCCTCCCTCAGGCGCTGGGCAAGGCGGCGGGCCTCCACCCGGCGAGCAGGACGTCCTCGCTCTCGTCGATGTACTCGGAGCCGCCCGCGCCGCCCGCGCCGCTCGCGCCTTCCGAGATGGAGGCTGCCGAGAAGAAGCTCCGCAAGCTGACGTCCGAGGTGGGGCTGGTGGTAGTAAGCACTGACTGCACTCCCGCAAGCTGGCGTCCGTTGGGGCTCACACACGCGCACACGCACACACACGCGCCGCGCCGCGCGCACACTCTCTCACACACATACACACTCGCAGAAGTGACCACACCCTGACCTCTCACCATACATCAGCCACACAACACCCTGCACACAACACCCTGCCGACCCTCAGGTGAGGCAGATCGAGCGCGCGCTCTCCCTGCAGGCCAAGACGGAGCAAAAGGCGCGGCGGGCGGCCATAAACAGGGCCTTCTCCCCTTCTCTTCCCCCCCCCACCCGGGTCTGAGACTCGCTCTTCGCCCCCCAGGCGCGGGAGGCGTCCTTCACGTGGAGCCTCAACCCGAACCGCGAGAAGATCGAGACGCGCCTCCACCTGCAGTCGCTGGCGCACGCACTAGCAGCAGCAGCAGCAGCAGCAGTAGTCGTCGTAGCAGCAGCAGCAGCAGCAGCAGCAGTGCTAAAGACGCGCCTTCACCCGCAGTCGCCGGGGCCGTCTCTAGCGACTGCCTCGTACTTCCTCGTCTCTCAGGCTATCACGCGGATGGGCGACTTGCGCGAGGAGAAGGAGGAGCTCGAGGGCAGGCAGAGGGAGACGAGAGGGAGAGAATGCCGAGATGCAGCCGAGAGATAGCCGAGAGACAGCTGGAGAAAGGAGGTCGAGGCAAGGCAGCAGTGACCGCCCTCGCTGCACCGCAACCCATGCAGCCCCGTTGCCTACTTGCCTTAGGCTCATCGCCGGGCTGCGGCGGCGCGTCGACGCGGCAGAGGCGGAGGCGGAGGCGGCCAAGGCCGAGCTGCAGGCGGTGAGGGAGGGCCTGGCGGGCGGGCTGATGCATGAGAAGGGGCCGGACTCCGCCGAGGCGCTCGCCAAGGCGCTCGGGTACTGAGGGGTGGCGTCGGCTATTGGCATTATGTAGAGCTATACTCGAGTGTTCGTTGAGAAGGGGGGGGGGGGGGGGGCTGAAACGTAGGAGATTGTTGGAGCGAATCTCGGGCTGTTGGTGTTGCGTGTTGGGCGAGCGCGGCACATTTTTGCATTGGGCTTTTTCAAAATCGACCACGCTCCACAGCCTCCACGTCCAGCTCCAGGCTCCACCTCCAGGCTCTCCAGCCTCCACGGTGCCACCGACTGCGACTCGGTCGTCGGTGCCGAGCGGCCCGGGGCCGGCCAAGGGACCAAATTGGACGGGACCGCGACCGGTTTGTAGTAGTCTAACCGCCCAAATGATTTCTGGCCTCTCCTGTGGCCCCGCCGCAGGTCCACGTCCCGACGCGGCGCTCCAAAATCCGCACTTTGCGAGCTTCTACGGGAGTTCACGCCCGGCCTCTCCGCCTCGTGAGGCACACACCATACTCCGTACGAGTCCTGGGGCCGTGCGTGGGCCTCTGGTCGCGGCGTCTGGAGCTTTGACCGTCGAACATCGGCCGTCAACTAAGCCCTCGAGCGAACGTGTCCGGAGAGTGAGGCTCTTGGACGGGTCCAGAAGCGGTGTGCAGTGGACCCAGTAAATCGACCCCCGGAGTACTCTCAGCTTGGCCCCCGCCACTTGCCACCCAGACGCGCCCCCGGACAGACGCAGGAGCGCCGACAGCGGCGATGGTGCTCCGCGACGACGCCCTCCCGACGAAGCCGGATCTGGCGGGCGACTGGCCGGCGGAGCCCGGCGCCCAAGATTATCCGAGATCGTGAGGTCGTGAGGAGCCTGGATTACCCGAGATCACGAGATACCCGCGATCGTGATGAGATGCGCCGAGAGTACCCGAACACACACACACACACACACACACCGCTCACTCACGTGGCACTGAAACCCGCGGCCGAGCGCTCAGCAGCGCTCCGACCGCGATCCGATTGTGCCAGATTCGCGGCGCTCGATCCTCGGAACCAGTCGCAGCACGGCGTGCAGCCGGGCACGGGCTCGCTTCAGTGGTGGCTGTGGGGCGAGGCGGGTACGCGCGGTGGCAGCTCTCAAGTCTCAACTCGTGTTGGCGACAAGTAGCGTTCGGCATTCTCTCGAGCTTCTCGAGGCGGATATCCTTTGGCCGCGTACCCGCGTTGGGTATAGCGAGGATTCATTGGTGAGACGCGATCCACGCAGGCGTGTTATCTGACACAATATTTCTTGTGGTCGCCCTCGGCGCCTTGAAGCCCAATGTGCGAGAATAAGCGTTTGCCATATCATACACAAGCTCAATAATATTAAGTGAGAAGGCCGGGGGCAGCGCGGCCAAGCCCCCAGACCTAGAGCATGACCTAGAGAGCCGTGATAGACATCAGTCTAAATAAAAATAAATAAAATTGGACACCTCTACTCTAGGGGAGATACCACAGATATGGGTAAAAAAAAGGAACAGGTCCCCGCCACGTGCGATCTTTGTGCAGCTGAAACGTGCAGGGGTCTGTCAGTTGACATATCTCATATTCAGCATCAGTCTAAATAAATAAATAAATAAAACGGACACCTCTACTAGATGATCATCTTAGTAAGTTGTTATTGTCTTTTGATTTTTTTTCACCTGAGGAACCGCGACGACTCTCGCGATGCCCACAAGCCGCGCTCGTCAGCCCTCCCTCCACGCGTCTCGCTCCCAGTCGTACGTCCACCGCACGTACCTCCCGCCCGCGCCGCTGCGACGCCCGCTAGAGCTTCCTCCGCCTCCTCCTCCGCTGCCGCCGCCTCCGCCGCTGCTGCCTGCGAAGCGCTCCACGGGGTCGAGACCGAGGGCGAGGGCCGCCTGCTCACGCGCGCGCGCGTGTGTGTGTTGGGGGTGAGACGAGGCGGGGGCGGGGGCGGGGGGGGGGGGGGGGGGGGAGCGAAGGGTGTTTGCGGCGGTGGCGGCGGCGGGAGAGGGGGGGCCCACCCAATCGTCCGTCGCCGAGCGGAGGAGGATGACTCCGAACGAGCCCACCCAGAGGCAGAGGAGCGCCCGCACCGCCGGCCACGAGGCGGGGAGGAGGGCGTGGGAGGCGGAGGCGGCGTCGGCGGCGGCGGCGAGGAGGAGGAGGGAGAGCGCGACGGCCGACACCTCGGAGACAAGCACCACCGGGTGCTTCGGCGCGCCCGACCTGCTCACAGCACGACATGTGGAGAGGTGTCGGACAGCACCACGCGTGCGTCCGGTACGCCCCAGACCGCAACGCGCGGCGAGACGAGCGCCACAGGTGCCGGAAGGCGCGGCGGCGGCGCGGCGGCCGTGTGCGGGCCTTGTGCTCGGCGGCAGCCTGCTCACAGCTGGAGGCGTGAAGAGGCGCCGCGGAGGGGCGGTGTGGTGCGGGGCCCTTGGCGGCCTCGACGAGCGAGGCGAGGTCGCGGCGGACGCCTTAATCACAGGGAAAGCTGTGTTGTGAGTCGCAGATGCTGAGCAAGCCTCACCGAGGCGAGTCGGGTGGCGGCGGCAGTGGCGGCGGTGTTGGGAGTGTTGGCTGTGAAAGCGGTACGACGATACACCGTCGCGGGTGGAGGCAAATACAGTATCGAGCTCTGCTGCCGCGTAGTCAAACGTCTCATTGTACGTCGCAGCGACCCGCTGCAGTCCGGAGGTCAGCTCTTGGTCGAGCGAGTCGCTCGTCTGCGCGAGGTCGCGGTCAAACTCGCGCTGAAGCGCGTCGAGCTCGGCACTTCCGGAGACGAGCATCGCGTCTAGCGTTCTCTCCGCCCTCGCCAGGTGCTCGTGCTCCGGAAGGTCGGCAATGTTCCGACGCAGAGAGCCCGCCAGCGCGTCACCGACGGTCAGCGTGTCGTTTGCGGCGGAGGCGACGACGCGGGCCCTCGGTATGATCTGCACGCGGCGTGGCAGAACGAGCGAGAGGCCGAACAAAGCCGCGAAGGGGAACATATCTGCTCCTGGCGTCGCTCAGGGCGTCGCTCAGGCCTCTCGTCGGCAATCAAGTCAATCGGGGCGGGGCGGTGGGCGTAAAAGAAGAATTTTATGGCGCCACACTTTCGATAGACCGAAAGTAAGATCGTTCGGTGCAGAAACCCCGGCCATGCCCATGTAACGCAATTGTGCTCGATTTTTTGATTTTTTGGTCGAGAAGTGTCTCCAAGTCTTCTGGACCCATCGATGGCCGTCGCCTCGACGCCGCTCGTCGCGGCACCATCGTGCCCGGCCTGGGCGAAGCATCGTCGCGGGCGCCAGCCGCAGTTCGACGGCAAGCCGTGCGAGCCTGCCGAGGAGGAGGACATGTGGCTGTGCCTGGCCGACGGCCGCGCGCGCAGCACCGCCGACCTGAAGCGCCTGGCGACAGCCGCTCGGGTGCGAGCGAAACGAGCACGAGATGCAGCCGCCGCGAACACGCGCGATCGGCAGGCGCGCGACCAGCGCCGCCGGCAGCGTGAGCAGCACGACCGGCGCGCAGCGCCGGCGGTCGCCAAGACCGTGCGCGGCGGTGCGCCCACAACGCGGCCAGTGCGGCTGCCCGGCGCACGCGGTGTGCGGCATGTGCGTCGACCAGGGCAAGCTCGCCGCGGCCGAGCAGGCGGCCATCGACCTGGAGACGCGCTTCCACGCCTCGACGAACGTCGTCATGGACCTGGAGCGGCCCGAGGACGAGACGGCGGCGCTGCTGCAGCGCTGCGTGCACGTCTCCGACGAGACGAAGCGGCGGCTGCTGGGCGAGTGGAGCGACGAGCGCATGGCGCACGCGCTGCCGCTGCACGCATGCGCCTCGTCTGGCGTGCGGGACCCGTCGCTGACGTACACGCGGGTTGACGTGTCGGCGCTGCCGCGTACTGTGTCTGTGCGCGTAGCCGGCGGCGAAGACGAGACGCGGCACGTGTTTGAGCTCTCGCCCGAGCAGTGCGCTAAGTTTAGAAAAGGAGTTGCGGTGTTGATCGCCGCGGGAGCCCTCTTAAGTCGGTTTTGGTTTTTTGTTTCTTTTTTCGCACAATTCTTTTTTCGCGCTACTGTGTATGCTCAAAAGCAAAGAGACAGCTCGGGTACGGCTAGCTAGGCCTAGGGTATGGCTATGGGTCGAGACACGACAGAGAGAGATTTTTGAAGACCAACAAGAAACCACGACCACCACAGTGATTTGGGCTCGGCAGCTTGTTTTTTTGTTAGCCCTCAGCCGAAGCTGGGGCCGGTCCCGTAGCCGAGACCCCGAGACGCGAGGAGAGAGCCCGCCGGCCGATGGGTCGTGAGACGCGGGTTCAGAGAGAGATTTTTATTAACCAACAAGAACGAATCACGACTCTACAGTGATTTGGCTTTTGGGCTCGGCAGCGCTTGTTAGCCCTCAGCCGAAGCTGGGGCCGGTCCCGTAGCCGAGAGGTTCAGCGTCGTGCGCGTGCCCAGTTTTTTGTTCAACGCAGACTCCACTCATGAGTCATGTCTATCCATCATAAAGCCGTATCGAGACATCGATCATCGTCACGTCCCGCTCTCCGGACTCGCGCGGGGCGCCGGCCTCACAGCGTGGTGATCTCCTTCTCGCGCGCGCTGACCGCCTCGTCGAGGCTGCCCTCGTACTTTTTGAGCTTCTTGTCGACGGCGCCCTCCTTGTCCTTGGAAGCGTCCTCAGACAGGCCCGCCGCCTAGGGACGGGAAGGTGGAGCATGAGGACCCAGTCTCGGGAGCCGCACGGCAGTAAAGAGCAAGGCCTGGTGCACGTGGGTGCGGTGTGCGTGCGTGCGCGTGCGTGCGTGCGTTGTCCGCGCGTGTGTGTGAGTGTACTTCCGGTTTGTTGTGTTTGCATGTGTGTGTGTGCGTGTGTGTGTGTATGCTGCGCTGCGGCTACGCCACCTTGACGGCCTTCTTGATCTTGTCGATCGCGTCGCGCCGGACGTTGCGCAGCGCGGTCTTGCCGCCCTCTCCGATGCCCTTCGCTGTCTTGGCCAGCTCGACTCGCCGGTCCTTCGTCAGCTGCGGCACATTCAGCCGGATGACGGAGCCGTCGTTGGAGGGCGTCATCCCGATGTCGGACGCCATCAGCCCCTTCTCGACGTCGCCGAGCGCGGACTTGTCGTACACGTCCACCACCAGCTGCGTCGCCGTCGGACACGTCACCGAAGCCAGCTGCTTGAGCGGCGTCGGCGTGTCGTAGTAGTCGACGAGCACGCGGTCCAGCATGTCGGGCGTCGCGCGGCCGACCCGCAGCGTGGCGAGCTGCTCCTGCACCGAGGAGAGGCTCTTCTTCATCCGCTCCTCCGCGTCGCTCACCACAACGTCCAGGTCCACCTCCGCCGCCCTTGCCCTTCTTGGCCTTCTTGGCCATCATGACGACCGGCAGCGGAGCGTGGGCCGGCGCGGGCCGGTACGGCGACGCGGCGCGAGCGTGCGGAAGCTGCACCGCGGGCAGCCACGCGGTGCTGCAGAGAGCCGCCAAGACGGAGGAGAGAGCAGCCATCCGGTCTGATCTCGACCAAAAGAATAAGCTCGGCGACAAAAATCAGACCTACCTACAATAAAATAAAGCGGCAAAAAATTTCTTTAAGACGGCGTTTTAAAAAGGCACGCCGCCCGCTTCTGAAATCGACCTTGCAACTTAGCGGCCGCAAGAGAGAGAGAGAGAGAGTGCCGGCCGCAAGCACTGACCGTCGCATGGCGTCCAGTGGCGCCTCGAGCGGGACCTCCTCCAGCCTCGCTCCGGAGGAGAAGGGCGCTGCCGAGCCCAGTCAGAGCAGATCTGCGAACGCGCACAGCACAGCGAGCATCATCTTTTCAGAGCCTTCGCACCGGCGACACGGTCGGCTGAACTTCCATTGGGTGCTGCGGCTGAATCAGCGCGCCGTGCCGGCGCTGCGCGTCCTCACAAACTGGAAGGTCGAGACGTACATTCAGGAGCGGAGAGCGGCCGGGTGCGTCTCGAGCCGCGACCGGCTCTACCGGTTCCTCGCCTCGCCGACGTCGTCCGGCAACGCGCTGATGTTTGCGCTGCTCATCCTCGCCGTCTCGTTCGCCTCCATCATCACCTTCGGCGTCGAGTCTCACCAGCACTCCAAGCAGGTCTCGTCGGCGCTCGAGCTGTACGGCGAGAATGCGACCGCCATCGAGGAGCACCTCGGCAGCCTCACGCCGCCGTACGAAGAGCCGCTCTTCGCCTGGAACTGCGTGCTGGCCGCCATGTTCACCGCCGAGCTCGCGCTGCGCCTCGCCACCTACCCCACCCCGCTGCGAGACTCGGAGTTGTGGGTCGATGCTCTCGCCCTGCTCCCGCTGATCCTCCGCATCGCCTGCGCCTCCACCCCCGAGGGGGACCTCTTCTACGAGTCCGCGCTAGAGATGTACCTGCCGGGCCAGTACTACCAGCCGGCGGGCGGCACCTTCCTCCACCTCAACGCAGCCTTCTCCTCGCTGCGACTGCTCAAGCTGACCAGGCACATGCTCGGCTGCCGCTAACGCTAACGCCAACCCTAACCCACACCCTAACCCTAACCCTAACCCTAACCTCAAGCTGACCAGGCACATGCTCGGCTGCCGCTAACGCTAACGCCAACCCTAACCCACACCCTAACCCTAACCCTAACCCTAACCTCAAGCTGACCAGGCACATGCTCGGCTGCCGCATCCTCGGCCAGACCCTGACCGAGTCCTTCACCGCCCTCCTCATCCCAACCTACTTCCTCTTCATGCTCGTCACACTCTTCGGCGACTTGTGCACGCACCTCCCTCCTCCCTACCCCGTCACCGTGAGCAAGGAAGCGCTCCCTCCCCCTCAGGCACGCTGCTGTTCGCGCTCGAGTACGCCCCGCACGCACTCTGCCGCCGGCGACCAGCAGCGGCCCATGTGAACCCCACTTCACAATGGATAGGTACGCCCCCTGCGCAGAGCGGGACTGATGAGACAGGACACAAGGAGACATGACTCATACATTCGACAGGTACGACCCCTACGCAGAGCGGGACGGCCCTCGCGTCCTCGACATCCCCACCGCCTGGTACCTCATCCTCGTCACGATGGCCACCGTCGGGTACGGAGACTTCTCGCCGCAGACCGCCGGCGGCAGGATCCTGATGGGGCGCGTGACGACCTCTCCAAGACCCCGCCCGCTCGGTGACGAGGGCTTGAATCCGAGCCACAACACGCACTCGATAGGTTCGTGATGATCTCCGGGCTGACGGTGATGGCGATGCCGCTCGCCATCGTCGGCAACAACTTTTGCCGCGCCTGGGAGGCGCGGGCTGCCCTCCTACTCCCCCTCCCTCCCCCCCCCTCCTACCCCCCCCCTCCCCCTCGAGTCGAGGAGGCCGCTGCTGCGTCACTGGCGAGTCATGCGTCGGCGCACTGAGTCGAGATGTAGGCGCGTGAGCTCGCCCTGATCGCCGAGGAGATCAAGCTGAGGCTGCTGTGGCGGGGGCGCAGCCTGCACGACGTGCTGCAGGCGTTTGAGGACTTTGACTCGGACCGCGACGGCAGCCGCACCTGCCCCGAGGTTTGGCTGGCCGCTGCCTTTTGAGCAGGCTGTACCTTTGGCTAGGCACTTGCTCGTACCCAGAGTTCAAGCAGGCGGTGACGGCGGGGATGGGAATCAACCTCGAGGGACGCAAGCTGCGCTCCGTCTGGCGGCAGTTCGACCACGACGAGTCCGACTCGATCCGGTGCCACGAGATGCTGCCGAGATGCTGCCGAGATGCTGCCGAGATGCTGCCGAGGTACAGCCGAGATGCGGCGGTCTGGCCTAGAGTCTGCGCTCTCTTGTC